CTAAGCGTATTACTTATAGTTCACCGTACAAGCCACAACTTCTAGTGATTGCCATGGTTGAATTGGACTAGAATTGTTTAAAGTTGGTGAGCCTTAGTCGGGAAAATCCAAAGATCTGGAACCTAGTTCTTTCTAAAGTAGAGCAGGAACTGCGAATTTGTCTTCTCATGTGGTTACTTAGACGACAATTTCCTGTCATCAGTTTTGTGAGAATGCGTAGATCTTTTCTACTCCATTCTTGGATCTAAGAGAAGGCGTTCATGAAAAGAATGGCTATAAACGCCTTCTAATAAGATAGCCTAGTTCAAGATTGGAAGGGTTGGATATAAACACCTTCGAATAGTTTAGCCCAGTTCAAGAGTGTTACAATCTCTATACGGTTCCACTTTTAGTGAGTATCTCAGTTTTTCATTTTATTTCTGTAACGTTGCCTTTTTTTATTCCTCATAAAATAATAAAATATGCAAATCAATTTTCCTACGACCATATATACAATGACGAATTTTGTACAGTCTAGTTCTATGTAAAGTGTCTTCACTTTTCATGAATAAGAATCTAATTTCTGCATCAGTTATCAAATATATAGAACGCATGATCATTTATATTTTGATTTCGTAATGTAATTCAGAAAAAAATCGATTTTATCATATCTATTTATTTAAAACAAATACAATAACAGGTATACAGTTTACATTTTTTTATTGTTTTGTAGTATCAATATACATGACTCTGGTAACATAGGTTGTAAAAAACACCTACGGGATCTTCATTTTACTCTTTTAGTCTTAACACTCTGTATAATATTTCCATACTACAATAATAACTTTTAGTGTATTTACACGTGTTAATGCAAATTAGTTGATAATTTTAGAAAATTGTGTATAACCCAATTTTTTTTATTACGAAGCTAGAGTCGAAACATAGAATGCTTTTTATTATTCAGGATAATTAACATTGCAAATAGCACGATTTCTAGCAGCAGAGGTCTGCAGTAGTAGTTGTGTCAGTTTATTCTACTGATTGAATTTTGTTATTAACTAATATACGCGGATGAATCAAACATGAACCGGAATTTCTTTTTCAAAAATTTTATTGATAAGCAAATAAAAGTTTGAATACATCTTATTTTTCTACATAATCTCCTCTCTTATTTACACATTTTTCCCACCTGGTGGAAAGTTTTTTTAATTCCTGTTTCAAAGAATGAAGCTGGTCTTGTCAGTAGCCAATTGCGCACGAACGTTACTATACCTTCATCGTACTCAAAGTGGAGACCTCGCAGTTCATCTTTAAGTGGTCCTAACATGTGGTAGTCACATAGCGACAAATCAGAACAGTAAGGCGCGTGTTTAAGTGTTTCCCAATGTATTATGCGCAATTTTTCCTGAGTCAATGCAGCCTAGCGTTTTCATGAAGCAGAATCGCCTTTTTTGCCGATAAGGAAGTTTCACTGCATCCACCAGTTGGGAGTTGTACTCAGTATTAATTGTACGGCATTCGTGCATAAAATCAAGCAGCAGTATACCTATGGAATCCCAAAAAACCGTTGCAAGAACTTTTTCTGCATAAAGACGGGTCTTGGCTTTCCGTGGTGCTGCCTCTCCGGGTTTTCGCTACTCCATGCTTGCCCGCTTTGACTCCGAAGTGTAATGATGCATCCATTTCTCATCACAGGTTACAATATGTACTAACAGCCTTTCACACACGGCAAGACGGTTTGCTTTGTGTTCTTCCGTCAAAAGGCGAGGAACCTAGAGCTTTGTTCCAACACACACACAAACCGTAATATTACGGTCATCGTCATGCGCAGTAAATAAAAACCGTTCGACTTTGGGCTTTATTGATAGGTTTTTATTTACTGCGCATGACGATGACCGTAATATTACGGTTTGTGTGTGTGTGTGTTGGAAAAAAGCTTATTCTGTACACACATTTTGGTAAATTATCGGAAATGATTGATTGCGCACTTCGGTATAATATTGCGACGTGCTTAGCAATTTTCAGGACTGTAAGGTGGCGGTCGTCTTCAATAAATTCACGAATTGCACGAATATCCGCCTTATTGATGCTTGTCCTGGGTCGGTGTGCATGAGTTACGTTTCCACTGCCTCTCGGCCGTCTGAAAATTTTTTGTGCAAGTCGTAGATTTCGGTCTTTAAAAGTGATTCATCACCAAACTGTGCAGATGCAGATAGTCGACGCAAAATTTAGGAAGGTTTTAGCCCCTTCCGCATCAAAAATTTAATAATAACGCGTTGTGCAACAAACGAGTGCATCTCCTGCTCAGACATGATGCTACTAAAAACCATAGACCATACCTTTTAAAAGATACTCGCGTATCGGGGACAACACTAATAATTTGTAATTGCTCTGGTGGGAGATGTTTGTGTGAATGTGTCTTGTTTGTTTTCATTTACGCCGTGACTAGCAGTAGTATTTTATAAACCTTAAAAGCAAATTTCACATACATGAACAAATAATAATAATGCCGTGACAACAAGAAGACAAAGCAACGACCTGTCGCCACCAGAAAATTTTAATCCATACCTGGCTAGAACGACCGGCATAAACACCAACGGGTTGAACACAGCTCACCTACTCTGTCAAAAGAAGACCGATGTACAAATAAAACGCGTACTAAATACGCACTACAAATTATTAGTGTTGTCCCCGATACGCGAGTTTAAAAGATGGGTCACTCAACAGTAAATAATTTTACTCATCTTTCAGCGCCACCTGTTGATGTTGCACAGTAGTTGAGTCAAAAAAAGAAGAAAATAACTAATTATTGGCAATTTGTTCATTATTTATTATATAAATGGCGGTAGGGGTCAATAAGCGCGATTTGTTTAAACCACGCCTTTCTAATAAACCTGTACTAAGTTCTTTAAAATTATAATTTTTTTTATTGGTATCCTATTTTACTTATTTAAAGTACGCCTCAGCGTGTTTAGAACTAACTTTAAAAAACGCGCTTTTTAAAGTTACCATGGCAACATCAACAACCCGAGAAACGTGATATCTAAATGCCAACTTTTTAAATATTGATCTGACAGGAGTGCCTTGTAATGTCAAATAAAATATTTCTGAGAAATTTTTCAAAAAATTTATTCAATACCTTCAAAAATAAATACGTAATGTCCGGTGCATCTGTAAAAAACTTCCGCGAATCGTCTTCCTCGAATACAAATGCCTTCTTGACTACCTCATTTTTGCTAATTGCCTTCATGAATGCATGCACTTTGACGAACAATTTTATATCGACCCCTTTGTTTATCCTCAACATACTTTGTAATTTTGAATGGATAGTCCACATAGTCGATACTTTATACTGTTCCGACATTTTCTGGAGATAAGCGACAACAACTCGTTCATCTAAATGTGTAACCATTTGCTCTTCCATCCACGTGTTGAATTTATCGTATTCTTTTTAATAAACCGCTTCGGATTTTTGTGGTATTAAGCGCGATTCTGCTTTATTATTTAAATACTCAATATTTAAACTCATTTTAAACAATAACAACTGTTGCGACAATTAATCTTACGTGACAGATTGAAAATAAATTTTTGTTTGTCTCATTTTCATGACAACGAGGTATACTGATGTTACATCACAAATTCAACCATTTTCATTATTAGTTCTTATTTCCAATTTTTTGTGGAAATAATAACAATATTTAGGATTTCAAAGTATACCGATAAAAAATAAATAGCGTAAAGTATTCGTGAATAACTGGTCTTTAAAACACTTGCTCTATTTCGAGCACTCTGGCTGCGCCGTCGTGCTCGAAAAATCGCGCGTGTTTTAAAGACCGTTATATCCACTTATACTTTAATATACTATTTCGTTCGTTTTCACTTAAAATAATTTAAACATTTTATTCTTCACTCGACATATTTAGATGGATATAATCCATTGGGTTATGTTCTGTGATAGATAAAAATTTGAAATATTTAAAAGTTAAAAAGAACGAAAAATTATAATTTTGTATTTGTGGAACAAAAAATACATCTTACTATGAACTAAAACACGATTATAACCATATATTTTTTACTATTAGAATTTAAATTGCACGAATTCTTATTAGAGTACACAATAATAAAGAAATATGAAAATAAAACTATTACGAAGTTCGCCCATGGCTGTTTCCACTAGAAGTTGTAACTAAAGTTCCTGTGGCAAGTTGGTAACTTGAATATATAAAGATATATTTATTACCTTTCTTGTAGGTGTTTTTATTGTTGTATCTTTCCGTACTTTCACAGTGGCAGAATATAGATGTCAGTGCAGATGTATGAAAAAAACTTTCAGTGTTTAAGAAAGTTTATAATATACCTTTCTAAAATACTGATAGTTTTTTACCTACTTCTGTACCTGGATCTATATTCTGCTACTGTGAACCCCCAAAATGTTGGTCACGAGCCGCCCCTGGGAGTGATCAAATAACAATAGATAATTTTAAACGTTATTGAATCCTATTGTGCCCTTCTGACCATTGACCTATCTTTCAAAGTTGAAATTCATCCCAAAACTCTTGATTTTCTAGAATATACCCCCTTTAAATTATTTTAAGGGGCGTTAAAAAAAATCTAAAGAGTTGTCGAACACGGTCAAAAATTGGTAAATCTTATGGTGTAGTCAGTTTTAAAAAATATTAACTCGGCCATTAATATTTTTTTAAATATTTAGGTTTTTAAGGGTGGTCAAAAAAAGTTAGTGGGTATTTATACATGGTCAATAGGTGGTTAAACGTATGCCGCTTCTACAACTAAAATTTTCGAATTTCGGGGGGCCAGCTTCACAGAGCTACTGTATATCAGTTTATCGCGCCTCTGTTATCTATGGCACGCTGAATATAAAATTCCGGTTCATATTTGATTCACCTCTTATTTAACCAATCAAATTATTATTTTTTTTATTCCTAAACCTTGCATTTTTTCATATTAATGATGATAATAATTATTATTATTATAATTACAAAATTACATCTTAATTACAGGTGTGGTGGAGTCCGTGTCCTAGCAGAGAATGTCCGAACAATGAAGAGTTGGATATAGTATTAGACTTGTGCGTAGACCATTGTTTAATAGCAGACGCCAAAAGTAAAAAACACAGACAAAAAAAAAATGCAAGTGACCCAGGAGATACAACAGATGATTTGAGTTTTCACATCAAAAAGAAACAAAGGTAAAGTAACCAGTTTTACGTGTTATTTAGAGAAAAAAAAATGCATATTATATATTATTTGAGGTCTCGCAAATAGTAAATTAAATTACTCATCTTCGTGAACGTGAATTGTGGTACAAACACAGTAGTTTGTAGAACAAGAATGGATATGATGCCTAAATTGCACGAAGACGAAGTTTGAGCATAACGCCGTATGCGGAGTGCTTTAATCGTCTGAGTTGTACAGTTTATTTTTTCTACAACCCACTAAAATCTAATCAGCTCACTGCACGATGGATTAAAACTCAAGTTTAAAATTGGATATTTTTCTGTTCATCCGTTTTTGAGTTATCTTCAAAACTCGAAATTTGCCGGTTTCCTCAAATATCATGAAAACCGCCTATTTTAAGGAAATCATTTATAAAACAAAAATAATAGAGAATGGCATTACAAGAAACTTCCATTCAAACAATTTTCCTATTCGAATATTGCACTTTTTGTCAAAATTATGTAGCAGATAAAATTATAGATAATATTGCAAGCAACTTTTATTTAAAGAATTTTCTTCTAAAAGGGAAAATATTTTCCATAAAGTAGAAAAACGACCTTAATAAAGTACCGCCTTAGATATTTCGGTTGTGCCCAAAATCTAATCAGCTTACCACAGGATGGGTTGAACTTAATTTTAAAATTTGGAGTCTTTCTGGTTATCCGCTTATGAGTTATCGAATATACAACGATGACATTGCATATTTTCAGAAGCCATATCTCGAAAACGGTATCAGGCCAAACGCAACAAATTGCTAGTCTATTGGGCCCATTGCTTCCTAATTCTGGCCCAATGGTTTGCACGACCATTTAATGCAATGCTACCGTCAAGTTGTCATCGCATATTCTTGGAGGCTATATCTCGAAAACAGTACGAGCTCAAACTCTGAATACTTTGAGCCCAATGAGCCTAAACGAGAGGCATTCTGGCTCATTTGTCTATTTCCGTTTTCGGAAACATTGCAATGCCAACTTGATATCAGCCAATAAAACGCCTTCCCTAATACTATTGCAAGTTACAGCTATCCTAGTAGATTTGTCCGTGAGAAATAGCCATGTATTGAGCATGTGCTGCTGTTGCCATACAACTCAAGATGTAGAAAATTTATTTACGTAACAGTAGTTGCGTCCTGGTCTCATAGATTTTTCTGAAGGTCGATTTTTTTTAAACTGAATTATCTCTGGAGTTCTTGATACTTTCTTGGGTTTGAGTATGGAGAACTTCCATCGAGTGGAAGTCTTTTGATTGAAGGGTTATTAAATTCTCTTTATACGACCTTCGATTTAGTTTTAAAACATTGATGCTTCTTGGGTTTGAGTATGGAAAACTTCAAATGAGCGGAAGTCCCTTGGTTGTATGGTTGTCGAATTTGCTTGATACGAGCTTCGATTTAGTTTTAAAGTGTAGATGCTTCTTGGATTTGAGTTTGGATTTGAGTTTGGATTTGAGTTTGGATTTGAGTTTGGATTTAAGTTTGGATTTGAGTTTGGATTTGAGTTTGGATTTGAGTTTGGATTTGAGTTTGGATTTGAGTTTGGATTTGAGTTTGGATTTGAGTTTGGATTTGAGTTTGGATTTGAGTTTGGATTTGAGTTTGGATTTGAGTTTGGATTTGAGTTTGGATTTGAGTTTGGATTTGAGTTTGGATTTGAGTTTGGATTTGAGTTTGGATTTGAGTTTGGATTTGAGTTTGGATTTGAGTTTGGATTTGAGTTTGGATTTTGTCATTGAAGTTAGCAGAGTAAGTTTATTTTCTTTTCCCACATGTTTAAGTTTACTTCTTCCATAAATTTTTTAAATTTTTTTTACTTTTGCTCGAAGGAACATGTTTAAAATTCAAAGGTGAATTGTGTAAGTAATACTGTGTCACATGTTGTTAATCAATCTCTTTATTTCTCATTTGCATCTAAATTTATACCATCACAGAGTAAACAATATATAATAACAATTAGCATTATTTAAATGTACATTAGAAAAATATTTTAATTTCAACCTCCAGTTCAATGTTTCAGCATTTTTGTTATTGTCATACCTTGAAATTGGAACAGTTTATAGTACCTGCAGATAAAATAAACATTTTATTTAAATGAAAGAATTTATTTCATGTACAAGATATCAATTTATTACGTAAATATAAAGAAAAATGTTCAAATCTGAACAAAGGGTATCCAACTCCTTAAATGTGGGCATCTTATATAATTACAAATTAATACAAAATCAATCCCACATAAAACTATTTTTATTCAAAAGATGTGACAACCGGTTTTGGCCTTAGGCCATCATCAGGTTTACAAAGAGAAAACAATTTTAGTCTAGTATGTATGAAAGTAGAATTACATACTTAAAAAATATATTACATTGGTATTGCAAACTGAGACGTCTCCAAATACATAAAACAGCAGTTAAATAGCTGCTACCGACAAACCCTCAAGAGGAAGAAGTGGAAAAAAGAGGACAAGAATTTATAAATAAAAAATTAATTTATGATAGCAAAAAATAAGTAAAAATTATGTAGTAGAAATCTTATAGCTGACAAATGTTCTATGGTTTGCGAGCTATGCGCGATTAAAGGGATTCCATTTCCCACAAAGAGGAGTAGGAAAAATTAAATATTAACATAAATTTACTCTCCGACTTCGGAAATCTGATATTTGACGTGACAATTTAATTTTTCGTCTTCTCATCTGTCTTGTCTATTTAGTATTACATACAATAGTTTTTTCAGAGTTTCCAATCCATATCTTTTATATTAAGTAACGACCAATTTTATTTGACTTTTGACAACTAACTGAAATGACAATTGTATCACATGCTTTGTTCTTAAATGTCTAATTATTTTTATTTTACTAGTTTTATAACCCACTTTCTTGTTCTTTATCACTAGTGTTAAGTCTTTACTTATTTAATATATTAAAATTTAAAGTAACTATTATCATCCAGAATGAAAGGTAATATTTTACTTTTATTTTCATTAATTTTATTAATTATATTTCGCCATAAGGGTACTGCCTTAATTAAGTAGTCACAGGCCACCACGTTAAAAACGATTTGTTGTTTAAACATTGCACAACAGTATCGCTTCCACTACCACAAAGTACACATTCTCGTATTAACATTGTAGTTCGGTACTGACGTGCAAAAACTTTCCGAAACCTTTAAATACCAGCCTTTAAAATACAGTCGATATCCCTCAGTGTCGTGGGTGCACGCCCAAGAACAGGAGTCTGGGCTTAGGAAGCCAGGATAACAAAAATCGAACGGTAAAAGTGCGCATTTTAACTCTCATAAGAGTCAAAGCTGCTTATAAGCTAATGCTACTGACTCTTAAAAGAGCCACGATAAATTAGTATATTACGTAACAAGAGTTGTAAGTAACCCATTACGCACGAAGTGTGTCAGCTTGAGCTTTTTCTCAAATCTCCGGTGGAGTGCCCATAATTTCATCACTTTCACTGCTAACAAACATATTCGTAGGTAAAGTTGAGAAAATGTTCGGATACAATCATATTTTGTTACAAAAATTGACAATATAAATGGCATGACGTTTATTTTCATAGCATGCTAAGAAAACGCGACATATACTTTGAAAAATTGTATAATATTTTGCCAACATTTAGGGGCATCACTCTTTTAATCTAAAATATATCTTGCTAATGCTAAAAGTTTTTATATTTTTTAAATGACTAAATTTATGTAAATAGACCAAATAAAGTGATACGTAGACAAAAATTTTATTGCAATTTGATTAAACCAAGAAATTTAAGTTTTCTTATCAAAACGCACGTGTATGATATGAGATCTCATTACGTGCATGTTATTGTTAAATGTTATTTACAAGGAATGTTGATAGTGCGATTTTTAACGTTTACTGACATGGGCGTAGAAAAATGTCATTTAGAAGGAATGTTGATAGTGCGATTTTTAACAAATATTGGAGAATAGTGACTTTGATGAGTTTGATTCTGATGCAGGTGACTCTGATGGGGGCATTGGAGTGATTATGAAGAAGTAAATGACGACGTGACAGTAAACGATGTTACGACAGGTAGTGCGAACAATAAAAATGTTGTTATAGAGTCGAAAGAAGATCCCATCGATATAAAAAGTTTACCTTACCTATTTAAAAAGAGAGAGCTTCCTTGTTCCTCCAAATGGCAACTCTCCCATTGACTATTTTCGTCATATAAAGACTGATAGTTTTCTTCAAACAGTTGTTGAGGAAACAAACGCAAATGCAGAAGACATTTCTGTATCTCAAAACGTTAAAGAAAAATCGCGTATATGTGATTGGAAATATCTTACTTTAGATAAGTTTTTGGTCTTTTTGGGAGTTTTTCTGCATATGGGGATTGTAAAACAGAAACTCTTGCAAGACTACTGGAAAGAGATCCTTTTTTTTTCACTGCAAAGCAATAACAGATAATATAAGTCGCAATCGTTTCCTAATCATATTGCGTGCACTGCATTTCTCGAAAAATCCTAGATCTGGAGGACCGACACCATTTCATTAAATTTTTTAACGAAAGAATGGCTGAAATTTATTATCCTTACCAACAACTTTCCCTGGACGAGTCGATTGTGCTATGGAGAGGGCGTTTGTTATTCCACCAATACATAAAAAACCAGAAACATAAATATGGGATTAAACTTTATATGACGACAACTCCAACAGGTCTCATACAAAAGATTGGTGTATATACTGGCATGCTTGACGAAATGGGAGGTCGAGTACATGCTCAAAAAGTTGTCTTGCACTTGATGGAAAATAAATTAAACGTTGGACATTACCTGTACATGGACAACTATTATAATAGTTTTGAATTAGCGAAGACCCTCTTGGATCAAGTGAGCCATTATACTGGGACACTTAGATTGGACAGAAAAAATGTACCTATAGAAGTTAAAAATGCAATACGATTTCCAGATATGCAGAAGGTATTATGATTCGAAAATAATATGATTGAAATAGAAA